AATCTTAAAGTTCGTAAGGTAAAATAATTACTTTTCATAGATAATTTTTTAAGGATATCCTTTTCTAGCCTGAAATATCAGTGCGACCTATTGTTGTTTCAATCAATGCATCAGCAAGACAAATATCAAGTTTTTTAGATCAACTGCTCACTTCAATTTATAATTATGTAACAAAAGATATAACATTTATTAATAGTATCGATTTGATTCGAAAATTAAAAGACTATACAGAAAAAGGTTATCTTACTTCAACAACATTATTTGTTACTTTTTACGTGACCGATTTATATACAATAATACCACGAGATGGTGCTATTGCTGCTTTAAGACGATTTTGTCAAAAATATTCAATTAATGGAAAAATTGGAAACCTCAAAATAGATACTGTCATTAAATTAGCCTCTGTTGTTTTAGATACAAATATATTTGCTTACAAAAATAAATATTATCGACAAATTAAAGGTGGAGCTATGGGTTCACCATTTACTATGGTTTTAGCAAATATTTATATGTTAGAATGGGAACAAAAATTAATTGCACATCAAAATAGGCATCATGAAATTTATGGCCGGTAAGTTTCAAATTATTATTTCTATATTCTTTTATATTGATACTTTATTCATATTTTGTAGATATATTGATGATGTATTTATGACTACGAATTTAACAAAAGAAGAAATTTTACAACAACTTAACGAAACAATGAAAACAGATCCAAACATTAAAATTACTATTACAATAAATCAATCCTTAGAATATCTTGATGCAACTATTGAAAATAATAATGGACAGTTAAGAACAACTATTTATCATAAATCAGCTTGGGAACCTCATATTCTACCTAATGAATCTGATCATCCACGACATATTCATGCAAGTATAATTTATACAATGTTAGTTAGAGCAGCACGTCTTTGTTCCACTGTGGAAGATTTTGATATGAAACGATTAAGTACAGAAATGATATTATTAATTAATGGTTATCCACTAAAATTTCTACAACAACACATGAAAAACTTCTTTATCCAACATGATGCTATGAGTGTGTGGATTGAACTCAATAGCGAAGCATATCAACAGCCACATAATGCATTACTTTACAAACCAACACGAAGAGAACTTAAATCCA